TAAACCCTGCTATTTTATGTTAATTTCCTTTCCTATCATGCCTGAGTAATTCTTGCTATTAGGCTTCTTTACGCCGACTTCGATCAGAGCGAGCTTACGCGCCAGTTAAACTATGAAGCCTTTAGGCTAGACTTAAATTTCATTATTTTTAGTTTATCCATTATCTTTGATTTAAAGCCAAAAATGTTGGCTTCTGTAAGAACTTTTAGGATTAATAAAAGGGTCCTTTACGCCTTTTCACTATCTCCACGGTACTTACACGACATAGGGATAATTCCCTAATTGTTTATTATAGGTATGGTCTAATTGTATGTTCTCGAAAAAGATCGGAACCTACAATGTTATAAACTGAAAATAAGTGAAAATGAAATCTTAAGATCTTTCAAAATCAGTACTGAAGACTGCAAGAACAAATAACTGATCTGCCCTTAATAATCGCATAAAGAAATATTTAGCTTCATAATATTTCACGGGATGCTAAGAATTTTTCCTATACAGTTATTTTTCTATATTTGTAAATAATATATTTTTTATAATTCTCTTGACATGAGTTATTTACTCCAGATAGGCTTATAAAAGTATAACAGTAGTTATACGTTGATTTATAGAAGTACTTTTGTCAATAAAAATGTGCGATTTTTTTTAATAATTAGACTTTATATTAGTGGCAATATCAGCTTAAAATACTTGGTTTTTCACACCTTTGCATTTGCTTAATATTAAACTTTTTCTACAAAAACAGTTTCTCGAACTTCATACGCTTTGATTTTCCGCTATTTCCATTCTTATTTTTCTTATTGCAACAAATTAGTTAACAAAGTTGTCGTATTTCAGATAGGTACCGAAGGGAACAGTGGTTTGGTTTTAACTATGCAGGTACTTTTGTGTATGAATTTGAGTACTATATTATCATCTAGATATCAACTTTCTGTTACTAAAGATTTCCTGTAAATGTGAGTTAAAGTTAGTTGGGTAAAATAAGATAAATATCAATTAAAGGTGGCATTTATAGTGAAGACTGATCATTTATTAAAGCAGTTAGCTATCTTCTGTTTTCGAATAGAATTTTAACTAAGTAATAGACATTGAATTGCATTTAACAAAGCAGTTCTCATTGCAAACAATCGAATGTTTTCTTAATCTGACGATTAAAACAATTGTTGCCACAATTAAACAAATAAATAGTGATTATCAGTATAAAGAATAGAATATTCATCAGTGAATTAACTATGTTAGAAATTACCTAGGAATATTGCCAGATGTTGATTCTGACATATGGTTTAATCGGAATTTTGAATTCAAGTTGTAAGGAATTTTCTCATCTGAATTCCTTATTTCGTGCCTTCGTAGTGTAATTGGAAACAGTTCGCGCCTCAGGATGTCCGAATCCCGGCAAAGGCATTGTTAATATTTCGTTTTCCTTGCTTCGAAATAAACCTAGTGACTATAGAAAGTATTATTTTGAAGTCTGTTTTATTCTAATAGTGCAATATTTATATTAACTACTCCATATCACCTCTAAACGTCAGAGCTTATAATTTTGATGTTTGCAGAAAACTATGCATACACTTATTCACCGAAAATTACATTTTTATAAAGGAATAAAGAAAGAAAATTGTTTTCTTTTAATTTTTCGAACTGTCATCTTTCATTTATAAGAGAAAATCAAATCTGAAATATATTTATTGTGAGCAAGTTTGACAAAAATATCTGTATCTATTAAAATTACACCACCTCGGGAGATAGCACCTTCGGGCAAATCAGGAGAACAAACCCAACATTTGTATGTTATAGTTTAAGGACTGAGAATGATGACAAGAATGTGTATATAATGGCTGCAAAAGGTACGGTTAAATTTTATGGAATTGTTTCTAGTTGGGAAACCGTTGCTGCTGAAGCAAACGAAATCAATAAAAAGTAGCGCATTATTGATCACGGGATGTATTTTTTTATAGAAGAGTTTCAATCATTTGTTTAACTTATGAAAGAAATCTATGAAAAAACTCACAGATCCGTCAAAACCATATGCGTGTCATTAATGCCTGGAACTTCGTCGCCCACACTCATAAAAAAGAGCAAAACTGTGCTACGTTTCGCTTAAACTTTAATAGAGGAGCTTCAGTTAATGATTAAATTGAATCCTAAAATCTTGATGAACTTATGACTGATTTTCACTTCATGATAAGCATTTTCAAAATAAATTCAGTCCAATCAAAAACGTTTCGTGAGCGTGTTGCTTTCATATTGGAAATTGAATCAAGATGGATTTTTTACAGTGCACAACTGAGAATAATACAAAATTTAGTTTTAGGATGTGCGTCGAAATTAAGACTATTTTAATGCGCTTATATGGAATTAAAGCCAGCCGTTTTGTTAGAGTTGCCATTTGCCATTTTGTTAGAGTAAAGATCACAATTAGCTAAGGGATTTAAAAATCTCAGATTCGATTGTCGACCAGGATACCTCTGATTTTTCAAGATTTTATCCCCGCCTTACAAAAAGAGAGATTAGTCCTTCTAGTAACGAATAGCATTTTTTCAATTTGCTATTTCTCATTCAATCAGTTTCAGAATTCGGCTCTGTTAAGTTATCCTCACTGCAGCTGAGATTATCTATAATAAAATCATTATTAATTTCTACTATTTTAGTAATTTGCTTTTTCTACAGACAATAACTTTGCTTCGAAACCCATCTAATGGTAGATATGTTAATGCAATTTTCAAAATTAGGCATTTTACCGAAAACTCAAGGCATCTAATAACATTCCAAATTAAGACACAATAACACGCCGAATAAATACTAATTCAGAAGTCAAATAACAAAAATCAGCGTTATATTTACAAAATTTTCATAGGACTAGTTTCGATGGTTTTACCGAACCACCATCCTCAGCTGCAAAACTGCAAATGAACAAGATAGGAAAAAATGATTAGATAAGATAAGAAAGCCTGGACAAGAATAAGCAAGTGGCGCCATCTGTTGGTGACACCAGAACTAAAACATAATTTCTTTAAAGGCCGAAGGCAAATTTGGATTGGAATTAGGATCATTAACTAGAACAGAAAGATTTTTATGAATGTGAAATGCCTCTAGAAAATCCAGTTCTCCAATGGAAGATGTTTTTTGAATAATTTTGGCAGCAGAAAAATTGAAAGTGTGATTTTCGGACCAACAATGTTGCGCAACAGAAGACTTCTGTGTTTCCTTTTTTCTAACATATCCCTCATGTTCCTTGACGCGAAATTTTAAGACTCCCTTAGTTTGGCCAATGTAAATTAAACCACACTGGCAAGGAATCCTATAAATACCCCAGGAATTCATATCCGGAATGGGGTCCTTAAGTATGGAGCTCGGAATTTTATTGATGGGAGAATAAACAACCCGAAAGTTAAATTTCTGCAAAATATGTGCAACTTTATAGCTAATTGATGGAAAGAAGGGAATGACAACAAAATTTTTATAATCTCCTGAAACAAGAGTGTGCCTTTTAGTGTGTTGAGATGAGAATTTTTAACTACTTGATTAATAATGCTGTGTGAAAAGCCCCTGTCAATAGCTATTGCTTTTAAATAATTCAGTTCTTCATCAAGGGCTAGTTTGGAAAGCAAACTTGAAGAGCACGGAAAACGTAGGAATAAAATGAAGCTAACTTTTGTTTAGTCGGATGACATGATTTAAAGTGTGGTGGAAGGCAAACCGATGAAGGTTTACGGTAAACCGTAGTACTGAAGTTGGATGTGTTACGTGTGACCAGAATGTCGAGAAACGGAAGAGAATTGCAAGCCTCATGTTCAAAAGTGAACTGAATAGCAGGATCAATAGAATTCATTGTTGAAAGAACTTTATTTAAATCATCTTTATTACCTTCAAACAGGGTAAAAGTATCGTCTACGTAGCGGAACCATGCCGGGAAGTTTAAAGTTTCAAACAATTTTGATTCATAATAATGCATGTAGATATCAGCCAGGATGGGACTGAGGGGACTTCCCATGGCTAATTCCTCAGTTTGCTTGTAATATTTATTTTGGAAAACAAAATGTGTTTGTTTCAAATAGAGTTGAGTGAGAGAAATTAGCTCATAAATTTCGATGCAAGAGAAATGAAATTCGCGAAGTCTGGTTTCTAGACATCTTAATACACCCTCCACTGGGACATTGGTAAATAATGATTTTACATCAAAAGAAACTATGAGTAAATTTACTAGGAGAAATGTTTTTAACCTTTTTTAAACTTTTTTACAAACTCTATTGAATTTTTTTATGGTGTAAATGTTATTTATCTAATAGAGTGTGAAAATCTAGAAACCAAATATTTAGCTAATGGATACGTGGCAGTACCTAAATTTGACACAATAGGGCGGAAAAGAATACCACTTTTATGAATTTTGGGAAGAGCATATAATCTGGCACAATTCGTAACAGATGGGATAAGCGAATGTTTTAAGTTGCTTGAAATGATTTGCGAAGATCTGATCGCAGTTTTTATTTTTCACAAGTCGGAAGGTGAAGGATCTTTAGGGATCGGATTATGTGGTCCTTCGTTTCGATGGTGTCACTAAACTCTTAAATGTATATGCATTTGAAATCAGTTAAATGTGTAAATTAAATCAGTGTAAATGTATTTGAAAATACAGTTCAATCAGTGTAAATGCATTTGAAATCAGTTAAAATTTATTGTCAGTTTTTAAGTCATGTTTTTGCTAAACATCAGTTTTATGTAAAAGATATAAGGCAAATTTAAATGCTTATTGTCAATGTTATTATTTTTATTATGCACTGTAAAGTATTTTATAAGGAATTATCCCAATCTGCCATGAATGTTCTTATGGTATAAGTGGCACAAACAGATACACACATATATATACAGCAGATCCAGCTAGCAACTAAAAGAGCCATAGTTGAAATGCTGGCGAGGGCATAATGAGTTTTCATGTTTTCTGCTTCGAAAAATCTTCAAAATATAAATTGGTACTATAATGGTTACTCAATGAAAAACACAAAAAGCGTCAAAATTTTATTTAAAAATCTCTAAAGTTAGCAAATTCAAATTTCTTCCTAAAAGTTAATACAAAGCTATACATCAGGATGTGGGTTTTGCTTGGACAACATATACAACATGGGCACTATTCTGGTGAGTAATTCCAGGCTCGTTGGATGAAATCTTCGCACGGTAACCATTTTCGTCAGCGTTATATTCTACTTCTCTGTAAATACCATTTGGATCAACATAACCATATTTTCCCTTCACGGCACCAGCTTCGCTAGCTATCTCTTCGCGATGTTGGCGAGTCCCGTTGCCATCATCCATTTGATAAAAAAATTCATACGGTTTAGGGAATTCTGCAGGGATTTTCTCGGGTTTTGAAGAAGCATTCACTGCCTCAGGCCCTGAAGAGAAGAAGACACGTTAAGAACTCTTTAAATATGCAAACGAATTAAATTAAAAGATTTATGCATACAACTAAATTTAATTAATATTTAGGACTAAAATTGCAACACAAGCAAGCTTTCTAAGAGAAAAGACAAGCAATCTGAAGCGTTAAAACTTTTCAGATAGTTGCCTGATAATCTAATTAGTTGATAAAACATATAATGAGTTTTCATTCAACTATGAAGTTATATTTTTATTTTTCCTTCCTTACAGAGACATTTCATGACACCGCTGATTTTATGCATGATAATATAAAAAAAGGATACAAAAATTTTTGTAAAGTTTTCTCTCACTTTAACCCCGAAAAATCTGAATATCCTTGATCTTACCATTCATTATGTAGCCAATTTTATCCAGTTTCAGCCGAATATTGTATTCTAGCACAGTAACATAACAAATTAATAAAAGAAAATCGGGTATAAGTTGCAACTAAAAATTTATTAATCCTCAAATCTTATTCCCAGAAGATTAAACCGCAGAGTCAATGTAGTTTCAGACTTTTCAAAAGTCAATAAATGCAGCGGTTTACTTTGTACAAACACACAAGTAATGTTCAAAAAAAAGAAGCAGATAAAACGTTAATCATTTTCCTACTAGGAAATCAAAACAAACGTACGATCAGGATTTGAAACGCATCTACCTACTAGCATTACTTAATTACTTCAATTCCTTTTGAAATTTTTGGAATTTTTCAAATTAAATAAATATCTTCTACTACACTATCTGCTATCTAATTTTTGTAGAAAACACCTGCTTAGACTACTTCTCATCGAAACTTCTGCTAATTTATGTACTTAAGCCCAAAATTCTTTTACCAATCATTAACACAAACTACAGAGTGATTGTTTCTAAAACGCAGCTATGCAACCTAATTGCAAAAGCAACAGTAAAAAGCCAAACAAACCATAACATCAGCATATTACTTATTTTTTAAAATTAAATCAAAGTTTGTTTACTTCTGGAGTGAATGAGGGCTTTCAAAATACAGAATCGATAAAAATTAATTAAAGCTTACCTTATGAAAAAAAAATTAACTTTACAATCTAATGTTAAAATACAGCTTCGTAAATGACTTAACTTTCTACAAGAGTTAAATAAAGTGCTCTTTAATTAACGTGGAGTTTCGACCAGAGTTAAGTCAGTGTTATAACGAAAGTGAATTTCTAATGAAAAAATTATCGAGTTATACGAAATTTTACCAAACTATGAATTTAATAGTGAACATTAATAAAATTATGTGTTTCAGTAAATAAATTATGCAAATATTAATTAGTCCAATAACCAATTTAGGAAGCATAAAATACAGCATATTCAGGAAAGTGAATGCTGGTAAATCTGTGTATAAATCAACATAAATCAAAATTACGTCTTGTGTATATTGAACATTTACTTAATATGTATATGACATATATACACATGCTTTATAAAATTATTTTTTGAATATGATTTCTAAAATTTAATCATTTGGGTTTTATTTTTATCTTTAAAATTAAATATTTGCCTACGAATACCTCCGACTGTCTCATACTGAGTTTGTTTTAAGTTAAAGATATCGGTTGAATGAACAAGTTATTTTTAGACCGCTTTATTTACAAACTGAGACTATGACGCCTGAAAAATCTGTAGTTGGTAGTGTTAATTAGGCACGCCTTTTTTGTTTATCGTCTTAGACGTCAGCTACGTGGTATTTCAAATCGCGATATATCGAGACGCAGTATTACATTGAAGTAATATAACAAAGCAGAAAATTCATAATGGAAAAAGCTACTTGTTTTCAAAGAAGATTACTTGCTTTGGAACCTTCGTGGAAGTATTCCTAAAAATTTTTGATTTTCACTTCGGTACACATAGGAAACACATTCAAATAACCACCTATTCGATTGCTAAAAAGTTCATAATGATCAGCTATTTTGCAGTAGTCACTACTTTTTATACTCAAGACTCCTCCCAATTTTTAGCCCTTTTTTCCCCTAGCATCTTTTACATATACTTTTAAGATATGGTAGACTAGCTTCCGTTCGTTTTTTTTTTACGTCGCCATTGCTTAATATTAATATATAGTCAGCTCTCGTTATTCACGTTACATTAATAAGTGTTAGTCATAATTCGGACAATTATCGAAATAATATTTTATTGAACAACCAAACTTTAATGCTAAAGATAGTTCGCGAATGAAGTCAGTGAATAATGGCGTCAGATGTAAGCTTAAGTATCTTTGCGAAAGCTTTCTGAGTAAAGTTTTAGAAGGTGAGAACGCAGCCACTGACGTGGAGGACACAAAAGATTAGTACACATTTCCCAAATGGAAAAAATACAAATTAAAATCAATGATTTTCTGTTTTGTGCCTGGTATAAAAGATGTTAAAGCTTTAGCTCTGATAATTTAAGTAAAAGGCTTCGCATAAAGAAGGATGCAGATTTTTAAAATAAGAGTTGCTTACAGTTTGATGTGAGAAGCAAGATTTTCATATAGCACTGTGTCAAGGAAAGAGAGGCAAGAAGGTGTTAGGGGGCATTAATATGTGGCTGTAAAAGGATGAACATGACTCAAATTGTCAAATTTTAAATGAAGCAAACTTTTACATAGCATGATAGCTGTTGGAGTTTTAAAAAATATATGAGGACGATAAACACAATGAAAGCAATGGAAACTGAGTGAAGTAGAAAAACTTTAATAAGCCATGTCATTAAATCTGCAGAAAAAAGCCAATAAATGAATATACCGGTATATTACAAATATTCTAAAAATCTTCACGACTTTAAAATCAAAGAAACAACTTTTATAAGTATACCCCACAAGAAAATCGACAGTTACTTCAAACCAGTCAGTTCCAGTATGATGCATACTCTTCAAATTCGTTCCAAACAATAAAACATTTTTGTAAGTACCATACTTTAAATACTAATACTTCTAAATATGCTGTTAGTATACCCTCACAATAAACATGTGTTTTGCAGTAGAATCAGGTAATGCATATGATAAAGTTTTGCAACATATATTTGAAATATTTATATCTTTTGTAACATTATTGTATTATTTTGTTAAATTTGGACATTGTTTAGTCCAGATAGCAATAATCATCTATGAGACATGATTAAACATGTTCTAATGCACTTGTAATTAAACATTTTCAGACTAAAATCCAAACTGAAAATGTTTCATAACCATATTCTGCTTCCAAGATAAAAAGAGTTGATTTAATACAAAATTTAGAATAGCCTAGATCACGCATTTATTAATTTTTGCATTAATCAGTGAAACAAATTTTTGTTTTCATTCAGTTCGCAAGCGATATTTTAACAACGGTAAGCTAATAGGGCTTCTGAAAAGCACACATGCAAGAAATAGATTAAATGCAAAGAATTCTCCTGATACAAATGATATGAATAGGCTTGGTTTATTTGATTATGGGAAAGCACGTTAGTGCTATCTGCCTAAGAGCAAAGATGTCTCCGTGGGGGACGTTCTAAAAGAAATTGACTCGTATCTACGTTATGGAAAATCACGAAACCGCCCATGCAGCTATATAAGAAGTATAGCAACCATGCAGTCATGTAGGAAAATAGGAAAACCACTAAAACGCCCATGCAGCCAGCTCATTCGCCAGGATATGAACCCGGCTCGAACTACCAGAGTTCAGAAATTTTTATCGCTCGGCCACTAGTGAACTTGTGATATAGGTAGAAAAAGTATAATTTTGGTATGAAAACCCGTAGTTTAATTCCTTTCTTTGAAACCACTACATTTATATGCCCAAAATTTTCAAATCTGTAATGATTTAACTAACCAGATAATTCAGGAAGAATCGGCTGAAATAAAATTTCCGTAACAGCATTGCATAATACTGTTAAAAACATTTAACAATAAGATAATTAAAGTTTCTTCAGCAGTTATGGTGCAAAAGCAAATCAAACCTACTCTCTTTTTAATGTGCAAATAACGGATAAGTGTTGCATATAATGCATGTTGTTTTCTTTTGTCATATATCTCATATAGCAATCGTACATGCTCTTGTAAAACGAAGGAAAGCAATCCATGATATCTAAAAAATAATTGCAAAAGTTTGATCAGTACCGTTTTCAAGAGGAAATTTTCAACTGCAGTTCCGTCATTTCAACAGTCTTAAGTTCGAGGGCTCACAAAATTCAATATACAAGGTTCCATGTATTAATGTGTGTGTGTGTGTGTGTATGAATTTTGAAATTTACTGGTATTGAATTTCACTTCTTTCGGGTCTTTGTGGAATTGGTTCTATATGTCTTACTTTTTATCTATACTGAATATATGTGTGTGTTTGTATGTGTATGTGTGCAAGGTAAAACTACGTAAATCGAAATTATAAGTTAAATTAGTAATAGTACTTAATTCTTCCTCTCTATTCCAAAAATCGAAAGATGGTAATAACTTTTCTGTACTAAGTCATTTCTAGATCAATCCTTCTTGCATCGCTTGCGTAATGCTGATGGCATATCTAATTCAGAATCTGAACTCAAAATTTCGAGAACTGAATCTTTCTAATTTAAACCAAAACATTCTACTGATTGGCCTCCATATTGGATAATAGCCCACTTTAACTTGAGCTCTCTTGTAGTGAAGATGTTACTTTGCTTCCTTTGTTTTGCCGTGCTGCTAACTATGCAGTTATCAAAAATGTGATACTCTGTATAAAATTGCGGGGTGCGTATTGTTCTTATAATCATGTGTGACGAAAAATCTGTTTCCGATAATTAGCTTATAAGGTATTTCTCCCGCCTTCCTAGCGTGCCTTCGTGGTGTAGTGGTGTAGTGGTTCTGCACGCTCAGCGCATAATTGAGAGGTCCATGGTTCGATTCCCGGCGAAGGCGTTACTAATTTTTCATCTTACCTGCTTCGAAAAATACCTAATGTCTCTACAAGCTTGTGACCATAAATAAAAATCATATTCAATTAATCCACGTCTGTTCACAATTCTCTCCTTAGAGTGTCATCTCTCTAATTACTCTGTCCAAGTCACAAAACACAGAACCATCGCCAATCCATTATAGCTTACTCCAAGTCATTTGATTACGTAGGTATATATATATATATATATATGTGTGTGTGTGTGTGTGTGTGTGTATTACCATATTGACGAATATTCGTTTAGAAACTTAAAAAACGGAAGAGAAACGGGAAAGTTAAGTTGCCTGAACCACAAAATCATTGTTTTTATTAGTGATACTCGAAATTCATGTTTAACACCATACTGTTTGTATCTGAAATTACAAGTTCAGTTCTGAGTAAAGATGAAATGTATATGCATGTAACATACACAAGAATTTATTACAAACACTTCGTCATGCAACTTCTGTAAAGGTTAAGGATTTTAAATTTAATATAGATTACCAGAAAACATCGAAACAAAAATTCATAAGAGATTCAACACGAAAATCTTACTTCAACTTTTGAGATACACTTTCAGCAGATGTAGCATTACATAAGAAAATTTCTGATCGTTTGTTAAATATTTTACGTATTATACTATTTATATTGAGCTGAACTATGACTACTGAGAATTTTCAAGCGTTAGCTAAATCATAGAAATTTCTATTTAATTTCTACGTGAATGGAAATAAAGCTAACTTTCTAGTAAACTTCAGGGAAAATACATGTAGACAAATTGAAATAGCTTAAGTACTAGCTTTATTCATTTAAAGTAAGGACACTTCCCAAATATAGTTAGTAGTAGAGTTTGTCTAAATTATTCTATCAAGAATAAACTCCAGATTAAAGAAAGTACGGATATTTGAAGTACACCAAAAATATTAAAAAATCATAATTACATCAAAAGAATTTCCGAACGTGTCAGCATAGATGCGAACCAATAACATTAAAAGACTTTAAGTAAAAAGAATTCTGCTACTGATAGAGAAGATTAAATCGTACAGTAACGGTAATTTTGATGCTAATTCGTTTGTTGTGAAATAAGATAACTAAGCAAATGTGTTCTTAGTTTTTCTCTGTATGAACGCATGTAGTATTAATGCAGGTCAATTTACCATAGAGATCTCTCCAAAAGAAGCTCCTCCCAACGCGTAAGTTTCTATTTACTGTTTTGAATTGTTTATTAACTTTGAACCATTATTTATTAATTTTGAAATACGAGTACTATTCATTATTTATTAACTTTGTTATTATTTACTTTTAATTATTTATTAACTTTGATTATTATTTACCTTGAATTATTTATTAGTATTACTCGTTACTCTATGTATTAACAGAATCTATTTGCATGGAGTCATCACAGGTCGAAACTAAAAAAGATGCATTGTGAAAATTTGCAGATTAAAAAAAAAAATCCAGTAAAACGAAATGCAGTCCATTCAGTATGAACTTTCTGTTTTTCAATATCATAATTAAAATATAGAATATGTAGTTAATTAGTTTTCTTAATTAATTACAAAAAGCACTAAAGCGAAAAATAAATCAATAATATTTTAAATCACTGGCTTCTCAACTATCAGCCGCAGGAATCTAGGAGCCCGAAAAACAGTATGAGGCCCTCAGAAAACATTATTCGTTTTCACAAAAACTCAGTAATCTTTCACGTATGTTATTCATGGCAAATGTTTACAATATTATTCAATAAAAACATTTTAGTATCAAGGTGTATTAAATAAAATCTGAAAAGTTCTACGTGAGTCTAACATTCTTTTTGCATTGAATTTTCAGCACTGTAAACAAAATAAAGGAGTTTTAAACGAAACATGTAAAATTATTCAAAATAAGTACAAATTTTAAAACATAACTACGTCATTTTATAAACTATATTATCCAAAAATATAAAGTACTAAAATTTATTTTTATTGTAGGAAGCAGCCGAAAATACTTTCTTAATTTAGTGATTGCCCGAGGGAATTCGAAGCTTAGGAATACTGTTTTAAATAATAACATAGCACGACTAGAGTATAATTTTACGTTAATTTTGTTATCATCTCGCCGGTCATATCATCTATCATCTCGCCGGTCATATTAATAAAGTTAACTTAATAAAGTGTAATCAAATTTCATGTTCACAAACATTGTATTTTGAGTAATGAAACAGGTAGATATTTGACATTGTCAATTTGAATTATAAATAAAACAAAATGCTTTTCCTGTATGTATGAGTTCGGTTATTTGGAATACATTTTCTGTTTTTTTCCAAGGCAGCAAAAGTTTACTGAACATCTTTTTTCTCTTTTTTCGAAATTTGTATGCAATCGACCAGAAGTATCAAACTCCCAGATCCATCACGCTGCACCAGCGACTTATATAAATAAAACATGCTATAGCAGGAGTTACGAAGCTAATCAATAACAAATGTCAACGTTCCGCTCGGAGATTTTCAAGAAAGAAAGGAAATAATTACTTCACTTACCTCTTCCTTGATGCAAATAAATAGTCACATCACACTAAATGTTTTGAAAGTAAACTGGATGTTATTTATTTCTGGCTTTCTAATAAACTGAATTTAAACTAAAATATTTTGTTATAGTTTATAATTTGGAGTGTTTTTAAGTAATATAATACTATATCAGAGATTATTTGTGTCCTCGTGGATAAATATAAAATATTTTGAGACTTCGCTAGGTATGTTATACACATGTATTTTTGAAATATTGCTCTGTGAATCTGCTACAAGCAAAAGTAAAAAACGCTCAGACGTTTTCGAAGTTTTCCGCAACTGCTGAGAAGGCAGAATGAAAGAAAGAAAAATTCGTATGCAGCTTTTAAAAAGCCATTAAGGAAATATATTCTTGAAAAAAAAAAAGCATTAAAAAAAGTAGAAATAAAAATGGTTGAATTGTTCTCCACTAAGCATAAATATGACCCATTTTCCCAAAGAAAAAAAAACTGCTTTGATTTGCAATAATATTTCCTTTTCACAATTAAAATTTTCTCGGATACGAAAACGAGCGTCTTGAGAGAAAATTTTTCTTTCTCTTACGTGTTCTTTATACACGTGTAGCCAAAGTACTGTAGAAATTTATTAAAAATTACTAGTTCTTTATTTTGACCACAATATCTGAAATATGCGATACAAACTGAAAGATTATTTCTACTGATATAATAGTTCTTTTGCAATTTGTCATTAACTTTCCAGTCACTCCTTTCTGTGACCATCAGCTAATCTAAACTCTTCCCCTACCCCATTATAATCGTCAGTATCTCAAACTGCCAATCGTTAAAAGCTGCTTATTTTTCTTGAATTTGACCGCGTCGACTGAAAGGAAAACTTGTTTCCTTAATATCTTATATTAACCTAGTTCAATGAAAATTTGCTAATGTTACCTAACGCCTAATTGTACAAATATGAAATCACATTTTACATATACTGATTAATGAGGAAGTAATCTATAGTGTATAATAGACTCAATGATCAGTACACTAACTAGTTTAGCATAGTATAATGGAAAGTGAAATCGAAGTACGAACATCTTCTAATTTTGAGTTTCAGCTCTAGTTTTTAGAGTAATAACCCAGTCTAACAATCTAATACTTGAGTAGTATTTTTATTCAGGTTACATCGGCTGTGTATGTTCAAACTGTGCTTCGGATAATTTCCCAAACTCCGAATGAGAGTTGAAAGATTTGACGTTGATGACGACAAACCGAGCCTGACAAAAGTTTTCTCTTTAAATACACGTTATGATTGCTCCACGATTTAATCCTTCAGCATTAAAGATTAGCAAACAAGCTCAGTACTATTTAATAAGACTTTGAAATTGAGCAAGTGAGACTAGCAGAAGAAATACGTGTAGCGTGGTAAAGTAGTTCTAATTACTCAGAGATTTTATAGAAAAAACTTATATAGGTTACAATATTAAGCCCAATATATATATTGGGCTTAATATTGTAACCTAGCTCAATAGAAAATTGATAATATTCCAAGGATTGTAAATTAGATTCAAAGGTCAGCTACTAATCATAATTGGGGTATTTCACATTCTTTTTAAGAGATTAAACTATACATAATCTCATGATAAAATTAGTTATGTTGATCGTTCATTAGTCTAACATAAATAAACAGATGATTAATGGCTGATTACTCACCAACTGGCCCGGCAGAACAGATAGTAGATACCGCAAGAATGGCGAAGATAACCTGAAAAATCATGATGTGAATCCTGTTTCAACAAGGTATATGTGTACAGTTGACTTGTTTTCTGTCTTTTATACTCACGGATCCTGCAAGGATCTGAAATGGTCCGGAGATGAATTATTGCTTTTTGTAAGATAAATTAAGACTTGAATGTCCATGACTGAGATTATCGCTGTTAGTTATGCTAGGGAAGACATTCAGAAGTTTGTATGAATGAGAAATTTGATGTTAGATAGCAAATTTCTAAATTCAAACGCACTTTCTCTCTTTCTATTCGGCTGCTTCACTTATCTTGAGTAGGCCTGCAGTATTTTCATCGTAAGTGTTAATAAAAATAAAAACTTATTTCAATTTAAAAATTATAAATGAAATTTTAGTCATCATCAGATCTATTTGTAATGATAGGAGGATATTTTCGGCGAGATTAATTATCATAATATAAAATTAGATTATTAATCAAACGCAATATTTTTTTCTAATACTGATTTTTTTTACCTATTTGCACATTTTATTATATACTTCCAATCACAAGAAGAAAGAAACTTCAAGCTGCAATCAAATTTGTCGTTTTTTATAACAAAGAAATACTTTATTTTACTGACTTGAAACCAGAAATAGCAAAGTCCTTTTATTTACATTAAGGAACGCAAAACTTTCCTCAGAAGGAAGACGCTGTTGCCTCTTTTCTTGATAAGATCTTTTACTCGAATAGATTTAAGTCAGTTATTCGGCTATTACATTATGAAGAAGCAAAAGACGATTATCTGCTTAAGAGTAGAGATACCTTCGACAAGCCTGTTCTAAAGGAAATTAGCTGAAACTTATGTTGCATTCAAGAAAATAAACAAGAAAATCTCACGCAAACAACCGGCTTGGTTCAGTGGATTTATCCATTCAGTCATTTCTGGGTTCCTTTAAATACATTTAATTATATTGTTAATTCATTATAATCCGCCAGAGGCCGAGCGGCATTGTCGCTGAATATTCAATATAGCCCACCAGCGGCCCGGCGGTAATTCGCTGAATACTGAAAGTTCTGGCCCGAAATCGATTCCAAGTGGACGGGTTGGGTGCATGGGCTTTTTCGTGTTTTTCCTCATGTGTAACTTGTATACTTGTCAGTTTCCCTTAAAAGGTTTTCCATGAAGGCATCGCTCCCCTTAGACAAATAGCCCTAGTGTGCTTAAATATTATCAGATAAAACAAACCACAAACTTAATTCAACATATCGTGAGCAAGTAACTTTGCAATATAATGGGTCATTCACAATTCCCTATGAGTTTCGAATTTTTTAGTGCATTAACAAAAGTAACAAAGCGGCCCATATGAATGCATAAAGAATCTAAAACTTTTGTGCACATGTTACAAATGTTCGATACGTTTACAAATGCTTAGAACGTTACAGACAACAAGTACTGAATTCAATTTCCTGGCATACGCTTCACAACATGTAACGATCGATGTATGTGTCTTCCCTTCTGGCAGTCGTCGTAATAAATTACAGGACAAAAAAGCGAGATCATACAATCTTTGATGTAGCCCCATAACAAAAAATGAAGCCTTTCCCAATTTTGATGAAGCCTCTCCTCGTTTTTCTTTAAAATAACTTCCAAATGTTGAGAAATAAATTCCGAACGAGCATAAGGAAAATTCAACTTGAGTGGTGATATTAAAACCTAATGCTCTGAAGATGAAAGCAATACCTACGCTCTGAAGTCGGAGTTAACATATTTCTTACTTCTCCAAAAGTTGCTACAGATTTTTCGAAATTTCTGTCTGGCTTGTTTCCTTGTTTAAGCTGTTTCTGAAGTTAAAGTTTCAGAGAGTAGTCTGATTTGAGATTCTGGAAGAACACATTTATTCTTCATATTTATGCATGTTTACGTCCTTCTTGGTCTTTCAATCTCCCAGTGAAAAAGGTATCCATTTATGCACTTCTGTTTTGAATATAAATTCGCTTCTGCCAGGACATTTCTTTTTTAAGGAAGAAAATCAACTTTGCTCTTTATCCATCCTTTAATGAACAGTTTTATATGATTATACTACACATAAATCTTCCGTCTACCAAATAAACCTTTACGTGTGACATTTTTCTCACCAAGCACAATATTTTCCTACCGAATTTTAATGTGGCGTGCTTTTATAGATACAATCGCTTTCCCTTATTCCACCATTTCATTCACTTTAAAAGGTATTTCTCCCGCTTTACTAGCGTGCCTTCGGGATATAGTGATTCTGCACGCTGGGCCGGTATTCCAGGGGTCCGTGGTTCGATTCCCGGCGAAGGCGTTGCTAATTTTTCATCTTGCCTGCTTCCAAAAATACCTAATGTCTCTATAACTTAAAAAATAATTACATTAATAAGACTTACTTACAACCATATCTGCCGAAAGCCTTTACATCAGTATAAGGATTTCACTGATGGTTTTTCATTGCATATAAATTGATGAAATTCTTCAATATTGCCAGAAATATGTTTCATGTTTACAGACTAAGCTACAAGCCTAAGAGAAAATTTATTTACAAGTGGGAACTACTTTTAAACTTAATTTTTCAAGAGTCAGTGGAAAGTGATTTTTCTATTTATGTTGGATTCAGTTATTAAACATTGGTCATCATGACAATAATATTTTTACTCATAATTACTAAAACATTAGCTTCTTGTTTGATAGGTGCTGTATTTTATGCTGCTTTGTATTTTATGCTTGTGGAACTAATTATAACGACATGTTTGTAATTTGGCTATGAATATAAACTTCTATTTCAATAACAGTGCTTTTAAGTATTGCAAATACCATCGCATACATGCACAAAAAAGCAAAAATTAGCATCTAAAACCTTGTCGGTGTTACAGTAAAAAAATAGAAATTGCTGCTATAAAATATAGAAGATTGCACACAGTTTTTAAGATCAGTTTCGGAATAAAAATTTCAGTTATACGGAATTACCCATTAGCTTCACGTGGAAACATTTTTCACAAAAGATGAGTGATTTATATTACATGAATTAGAGAAATAATAATAAAGTGCACCCAAAAGGTTTGTAGAATAGTTTTTAAAAAAATGTGCCAAAATGTTCACACATTTTTCCAATAATTTTGAAATGTTTACATGGCATTCAGTAAATACTCAAATTTTCAGTTTTGAAAGTTTATTAAATTTCTACATCGGTCACATTTATTGCCCGAAGAAATTATCTAAAGCGTAATAATTTTCGATCGTAGTTTTTTTAATATAGCTACAGTAGGGGTTTGTATATTTATTTGGGCAATTATTTTTTTCTTACAACTTAAAGCTCACAAAATCCTTATAGCCGTACAAAAAAAATCAATTTAGATGTGAGGAATAACGGAGGTAATGAATCTGTCTACCTCTTCCTATCTAACGATCTAGAGATTTTTCAATTGAAAATTCTTGGTCTTTCAATTTCCCAGTGAAAAATTTATCCATTTCGTCAAACGTAACTGCACTACAATTACATAAGGACAGTAACGTGCTCATAATAAATCTCTCTGAACTGCATCATTTCAAAATGAATTCTTAACCTTTTATTCTTATATAACGCTCATAATACATATACTTACATAACGCTTTAGGCAATGTAATACCCAAATTTGAAAGCCAAAATTTGAGTTAACCGATAGGAATAAGCTAAAACCTCACTAATTTTAACCTAGCCCTCAAATTCTACGCATTTCATTTCCACTTCTCTATCTTTGTAGCTTGTTGTCAGCCTTTTTTTTACTTCAAATATGTTATGAAAATATGAAAAGTACAAATGTAATTGCGCAAGCAATCGGCTTCAGATTGCGCCAGTTTAGCTTTTTGTCAAGTATAAGTAAATGTTCATCTAGCCGAGGTTAAAGTGTTGCGCCTATTTTAACCACAAGCTCTATCGTTGTGTTTCACGCTACTACATAAAACTTTTCATAATTTAGCATCTTCTAGAGTACCATCACTTCAAAATTTTCGTTACACATATGTTTGTATTTAATTTCTTCATTTTATAACCTATTTAACGGAGTCTAATGTACAAACGAATTTCAACAAAATTCATTTTTGTTGTTCAGGGAGGATTATAATAAAACTATTTGTATATATAGTATATATAATACGGTAAACAAAGTTCTAATCCACAATCCAATTATGCTGTATAAGCTATTATAATCAGTGGTATTATTCATAAATCAGAAAACGAAAATTTAAATTCAAAACATATTTGACTTAAAATAAAGAGAGGGTAAAAACTACATAAATTATTTTAAAATAAAGCGATAAATCATTGTTAAAAAAATAGGAAAACGAGCCAAGTTTTGAGTTTCAATAAAAAAAGTGCAAAAATTAAGCATTAAATGCAATAAAATAAGAATTTACATCTCCCGATACATCGTCTTCGGGGTGTTGTGCCGACAGAAGTAAATGAATCAGCCTGAACTCTGAAGACTGAACTAAAAAGGATATAAATTCACTGATTTAATTTCTTCAATTTAAATATAAAAAATGAGCATGTTCTTCAGTCCATCTACTGCAGGGTGGAATGAGAAAATCACATTGCCTAAATTAGTCCAAAGTATAATCCGTTACGATTCAAAATTATAAAATCATTACCAAAATCACTTACTTGAGTTTAAGAAATGCAATACAAAACAAGTTAAGCAAAAATATTCATTAAATAAAAATACAAAAAAATGCTAGAAATAGTAAAAATAATAAAACCTTAATCTGCCACCCAGTCGGTATAGAGGTCAGGGAAGCTGACTGAGATACCGAAGGGCCTGGGTTCGAATCCCGGAGAAGGCATGGTCGTAACTGTCCGTCCCCTTCATAGGAAAAGCGATGGTGGCTCACCTATTAGGTGCCTCCATAATAAAGAGACCACCACATCCGGCCTTCTATAGATTAATGGACTAGGTTACATTTGTAATTGTTCACAATCTGCCATTGGAAAAAAAATAATAAAAAATAAATAAATAAAACCTTAATCTCTATCAAACAAGCTATTCGTCCTAAATTATGTATTGATAGACTACAAATTAAAA